TTTAAATAAATGGAAATTATTTTTAATTTTTGAAAATATTAATCTGCTAATTCCAATGATATATTTTCCAAAAGTACGCTGAGATTAAAATTAAAATATATTTTTGATTAAATTGTTAACCCTTTGTACTCTAGAAGCAATCTTCAGTCACCATTTATTTAAATTTTAAATATCGATATTAATTAATATATCAAATTTAAGATACTGTAATAGTGTGCGAGATATTAACATCAAATAATTCTACCATTATTTAATTATTATACCATTTTTTATTTACTGCTCCCAAAAACATCGTCCCCTTTATAGCAGAGAATTTTTGAATTTCCACTCTTTTGTAGTCAAAAAATCATCGAGTGCATAGGATTAATAAGCATAATTCAAAAATTTGTGTAAAGAAGAGAGAATAATTTATTTCTATTAAATATGAAATAATTATATTTTCTCCCCAATTTTGTATTTTTGCGAAGAAAATGTTTAATTGTAATATAATTGTACCGTTAAAAACAGCCTATAGTCTGTTCAACGAGACGAGATACCAAATGTGACAACTGCACGTGATGAGATCAGGGACGAGTTCACAATAGCTGGACCCAATGATTGGGTCTGAAGGGGTTCTGAAATTATGCAATGAAGAGGATCCAGGAATTTGGTCTTGTTTTGCTAAAGCTCAAGAAAATGGACCAATAGTTGCAGACCACTTAACTCATCACACAGACGTTAATTAATTAAGGTATAAATATCGGTATCTTGTCTCTTTGAATGGACTATAAGTTCTCACACATCCACACTCTAGTACTCGCTATTCCTCACTGTCATTCACGCATTTTCACAGCCTCATTTCACCCTCACATTTTCTCCTCTTCCAAAACTCATTATCTCTTTCTCGATCTGTCATTTTGTACACAAGACACGCAACCTTCCCACCATGGTGCCAAGTACCCAAAATTTTCAAGTACATTTTTAGACTCACTAGCAATCGACACTCTGGTATAAACAGATTCCACCCACCCCATTGTCACGGGAAAACTCACAAGACTTTTAATAAAATAAGTTTATTAAAAAATATACTCTCAAGAATTCGGCAGAACAGTGGTCACGATAACAATGATCCTTTTCATCGGTTTTCCTGAGTCTTTATATATTTTTCCAAGAGTGGGGGTGATGATGATCTTAGTCCTAGTCGTGGTTTGACTAGGATGTTTTCTGTACTTTGGAAATGGTGAGTAACAGGGGATGACTAATTATTTTGAATGCGGTGGCTATGTACGTTTCCTGAGTCAGTAATGTAAATAAGGGCCTCCTTACACCGTCCACCTAAACACGCTACTCATGTAGAAGACTTTCATTCCCAAGTATACATTGAAAATAAATTGTTTAATCCCGATCCTGTCAATTGCATAAAGAACACCCCTGTCTCCCTTTACCTCAACCTCGTCAGAATCGAACACAGCGGCCGTTTAATAGGAAGAAAAAGGAAGCCTAGTGACAAGAGGAATGCGTAAACTTAGCCTCGACAAGTCTGCGTAAATTGGTCCTGGAGAGCACCCGTCGAAACTGCCAACTTCGCTTACCGATCGAGATTCGATCTTTCCCCTTCGGGACGAGGTACGTGGCCTCGCGAAGATGGAGCTGGCCCAGGGGTGATGGCACACCTAGTTTTGATTCGCCTCATGGCATCCTACCGGTCACGGGGCTGACGGCGCGTAATTGTTCTCTTGTCTGGTTCTCGCACGGCATCCAACCCCTGCCAACATCCGCCATCCCCGCGATTGCCATCGCGCCAAGAATGCATAAACAGCCTGCTTTGCCAGCCCGCAATGCTGCAAACTCTCCTACGCTTACTCTACCATCTCGCGATCCTGTTTGCCGAAAACGCACCGGTATGTTCAGCCATTCGTAGAATCGGAGATGGTTAATCGCTGTTTTTCAATTTGAATCGCGTGCTTATATCATTCATAACGTGACTAAGATTGAACCAACCGTGACTTAAGTGACAGTGTTTGAAACTTACATTCAAAATTCCACGTTAGGCGTTATATAGTCTTGTTGTTAGTCACTCTTGTGGATAGAAATAGACACCAATATCTTCTAGATCTTTTAATTTTCTTTAACAGTTAATAGTATACTTCCATAAAAATATTTAAATAATGAAAAATGATTGACACTTTCCAGAAAATTCTTCTCTCTCTCTCTCCCTCTCTCGCTGTTATTAACCTTTACATACCCATGAGAATCTTTGACGATTCTCACAAAACTGTTTTATTCTGGCACATTCTTTTAAACAATTTTTCAAACATCGTTCATACTAGACTGCACTGGTACATATTATATTTATACGATTCTCACAAAACTGTTTTATTCTGGCACATTCTTTTAAACAATTTTTCAAACATCGTTCAGTCACTAGACTGCACTGGTACATATTATATTTGTATCATCTCAAATGAGTTTTGTGCTAGTGGTTGTCATAGAATGTGTGGAATGTTTGTATGGAAGAATGTGTGCGTGACGAGTATGACAGAGAGTCGCGAAAAAATAATCAGTAGGTGAATGACAGTCATTACATATAGACGTTGTGTGTGAGAGAGCCCTCGAGAAATTATATCGCAGTTAGAAGTGAATTTATTTTACGAGATTTAGTTATAATTTATGTTGTGCTGTTATTGTGTTAAATAAATCTTATCAGGTTATCCATTTACTCACATCCTCCATCGCTCGCCATCCCACAATATAATTATATTGGTCTGAGATCAATAATGATTTTGACTAGCAAAGGTAATTATACATTCTCAAGAACCGTATATACCAATTTTGTTTCATTTAAAACGCAATAAAATTTCCATGTAACATGGGTGTTGGAAATCAGCTACGCTCATGCAACGATGACGACAGGCCTGTCGAAGGTTGCAGGCCAATACCGACCTTTGGACTTCAAGGGTCGGATTTGGGGATTTAAAAGGGCCTGTTGTCCCTCGGAGCTCTTCACTCTCAAATCAGGAACACTACGGATATCTTATATATTGTGTCCCACAGTGGCATTTAAAAAAGACTTAGTATTTCATATATATATATATATATTGCATAAAGTGTATAAACTTCACGTATATTAAACCTTTACAAATACAATTGCTGTATAACTGAATACAGTTACTTTCCTGCACGTTAATCATTTGGCTATTTTCTTCACGAAATTCCCAACAATGGGTCTATCTTATTATCCGAAATTCTGTGCAGCAAAGAGTTAACCAAAGACTACGCCAATGTTGTACATCCCCAACATCTCAGAGACCCTAAGCTCATAGCCACACATCAACCACTTCGTTCGAAACCGCTTAATATTTCAACGAGCCGGAACAGTCCCTTATCCTGATAATAATCGTCACTGTCGTTTCTTAGTCGTCGCCAGAGTTTCGCCAGGCTTGGCACCAGACGCGGAAACAAACTTACAGGAAGTTACCGGGACCGTGCTCGCTGGTGGCAATATTCCCGACGACAGGAGCAGCGAGCTAAAGCCGTTTTACCGAATGACAGGTCGGTGACGTTCCAGTGAGGCGGCCTGTACTAGTATCGGAGGAAGGGATCATCGTCGTCGACGTCCTCGAAAGGTTTAAATCACTAGTTCGCAACCAGGCGAGACGAAAGCTGCCTTCGCGCGCAGCCAGGACGATTTTCGAGGGTCGTTCGTGCAGCCAGGAAGGGCGGAAAAGGGAGACAGAGAGCCGGAGAGGGAGGTTGATGGGTAAATGCGATGTGATGCGAGTAACTGAGTGGCTAATTGAATGAGGTGCCTCCCAGGAGCGTCGAACCGTCGCGTGTCACACGTCAGAATTTCCGAACTGGGAGCCGGAAATTACGACGATTGTCGGTTCTCTGCCAATTATCAGCTCGCGATATGATTGCGGCTGGAGTCGCGCGATTCGACCGTGAACAGAGCATGCACACCTCCGATCGTTCCTCGATCAGGCTAGTTGATAGAGGGACAGGCCAGGCTCGCTGACGCCACGACGAGCTAGGGATATGGACTGGCGCGTCAATCATTAATAACCCATCAGCCGTATCGATAGTTCGATTTATCTACCGATACAGAGAATCCAAGGCAGGTCGTGGGGGAGGAGAGAATGATCGTTTGTCAATTTATAAAAGTCCCGGCGATTGGTTGGTGAGCCGTGTCACGGTGCGTTCGTCTGTTAGGCTCGGGGAGAGTCGAAGATGAGAGTCGGGTTGCCGTTTGCGGGCAAATCGATGAGCACGTTAATCCCTTTGTTATGGATGCTCTGGGACAGGGGATATTTCGGTCTATTTGTGGGAGAATATAGGTACGAGTTCGGCTTTTAATAATTTTTAGAATTAATTAGGGTAGAGCGAATATGTGAGCCGTTTATTCTGAAAGTGGCCTAAGTCCATTTATACTTAACACCTGATTTACGAAGCCCGTCAATTTGACTGATGGGTTGCTCCAATTATACAACGGTAACAGATTTAGTTAACTTATATTAAGATTGTCAATATTGTAATTGTTTTTAAATTAAACTAATCGTTAAAAAAAAAAGAAAAGACACGTGTTTTCCTTTACCTGTAAATTTGACAGCTGTACGTAGAAATAGGCATACGGATAGCGTCCGTAAACCTAGTGTTAAATTGAGATATTTAAGTGCTTGTGTTTCAATGCAATTAAAAATATACGTACAGGTTACTAATGAGTCATACTGCTTAAGTGTATCTAAAGGAGTTAAATTTATAGTTCCTATTAAAATAATGACAATTATTAAGCGAATAATATGCGTTTTCTTACCAAGAATGGAGTTAGGCCACTTTCAAAATTAACAACCAGATTCTTTATAAGATTTGAAGAAGCCCAAGTCCATTTAAAATAATTTAAGATGCTTCAAATTGAAAAAAAACAATACTCAATTTATTTTATATATCTTTACAATACTTCAAAAACATAATTTATGCGATTCAAAACATTTCTTAACTACATAAATTACAGAATAATTTACTGCTCATCTACATTTTGTGTGTGTGAAAGGAATTTGAAGAAATCGTGATGGTCCGGTGGTATGTATCGTAATAGGTCCATTATGTCCTTGAATTTTGCTGTTGTAATTTGTCTGATATTTTTATACAGTGGTGTCAATACAATATTTTCGAACTTTCTTGGTCTACCCTAACGTGGTAATAAATTCAGGACTTTATTTTTCATTCACATTCATTCATTCATTAGAGAAAATTTTATACGGTTCATTTCTAACAAAACGCATCCAACATATTTTTAACCAGTTTATTGATGCTCCGTCAGAATTCTTTACCCTTTTAAAAATAGCGCCTTCTAATAATTTTGTTGATACAAAATCTTCTTGTTTCATTTCATTTACAATAAAGTTATTACCTTTCCGGCACTTCTTTGATAATATTTTAATAATCTTGGGGGACAAACAGTAAATTATTTTTTTTAACGACATTTCTACCACGCCAAAATCTCTATCATTTGGTAACAAAGAATGTCCTGATATTAAGAATTCGTGATCTATGATTGTCTAAAAACTGAGGTTAACTTGTTAAACACTAATGTTAAATACTAATTAATTAGAATTACCTTCATCACTGCCTTCGGACATCATCAATAATAAATATCTCAATTTAAGTATAAATGAACTTAGGCCGCTTTCAAAATAAACGGCTCAATTATTGAACTAACTCTGAAAACTTGTGTCCAAATTACTCGAAATATAAGTAACTTCAAATGCTTTATTGTTAGGTAACTTGAAGTTGTACATGTAACCACGAGCAACCGGAAGTAATTGACAAATGGACATAAGCCACTTTTAAAATAAACGGCTCATGTAATCCATATTTCTCGAAATCGAGGATCAACTAGTCGAGCAGTGATTATACGTGCAAGAACAAGTTGAAGAGAAGAATAATATTCATTCAACGAAGGTTTCGATTCTGAAAGAAAGGTTCTGGAAGTCATCTAAATCCAAGTGACGTGGTGGACAAGATAAATAAAAGAATAAAACAACATAAATAATTAACATTCTCTTCCCTCCTTTTTATTCACTTAAGAATACCATAAAGTTTTTTACATTCTTTATTAAATTTATCCGGAGCAGCGGTTTTAATTAGACAATCGGCATTCATTTCTTTACGTGGCAGACGACAAATATGCAAAGGTACGTATCTACAACGCAATTATAAAATTTCATAAATTAACCACAGAAATTGAGCAATTTATTAATTTTTCTCCAAATGAACAGGAGAGTACATGAAACAAGAGAAGATATTGGAAACAAACGTTGGAAGCATTGTTGTGTCCATGCAGGTGTGCCTGCATCACGAAAAGAATGTAAGTATTTCTATTAACATAACCTTAACATAACATAATATAACTCAGTTGTAAACACATGGTGTAAGATATAAAGCATTGCTTTCCCATCTTTCATTAGTGATAGCAGAGCACGGTTGTGTGGAGATAATATTCTGTCGAAGTAAACAGGTACGTGCAACAATACAAAAATATTGGACTCATGGAATATCATCAGCGTAGATGCCAAGAATTATACTTTATAGCAAGAAAAAATTGAACCAGCAATACAAATACGTAAAGTATATGTTTATTTCATTGAAGATCGATTAATTATATGTCATACAAGATAAAAAATCTTTGAGGGTCAAATAAAGATTCAGAAAATGGAAATGGTTTAGGCAGACAAAAAGGAATGCAATTAATTTAGGTCATGGCCTCTTCTAGCAACAAGATATGGAGAATGCAGTGAGATTGAAAGGTATGTTGTATTCATGATCCAAATGGATCAGTGAATCAAAAATTAATATCAGTGGTCAAAGTTACCGATCATTGCTAACATGATAAGTTTCAGAATGATGCAGCTGAGGTATATGAAGAAAGGGGAGAAGTTTCGAATGAAAGCAGTGAGAAGAGGAAACGCATATTATGCGGGATCACGAAACAGAAATGTGGCAGTATATGTATCAACAGTGTAAAATGTGTGGCATCGACATGCAAATTTGTGGATCCTTGAAGAAATGGAGAATGTGCAAGTGGTATTAGTTATGAAAGGTAAAGTTACATTGAATATAGAGTATAAACGTTGCATTAAGGCAAAAATGTTTAGAAATATCTACAGGAACGTCGAAACAATAAGAGCAGGAATATAATGGTGCTGTGGTACATAATGGACTTTATTGGGCTAATGAAGCTAATGTCAAAAGGAGGTAAAAGGTACGTCTTACCTGCTGATAGTTATTCGAGAAAAGAACCATTGGGTTGACTGATTTATAAATGACTAAATATTTAATATGAAATATTATTGATGAAGTCCTTTTTTTATTATAGGAGACTTCCAAACATGAGTAATATTTATATGCAAAAGCTAGCCCCTAAAGGTAAAGTAGTAAGTACCATTTAATAATACTTCCATGGATTGTATATCTGTGTTTAAAAATTTAATTTATATACAGTATTTACTTTCTAAATTTCTATTTTATTATACTAAATAATTTCTCATTTGTATTACAATAGTAAATAATAAATTTTAAGAAATTTGATTTTAAAGGTATTTTACATTAATCGAACTAATGTGTTTCTTATTACTAGGTTGTAATGAGAACAACTTTTGGTGATGTTGAGTTAGAATTATGGGCAAAAGAAACTCCAAAGGCATGTAGATATTTCATACAATTATGCATGGAAGGTTATTCGGATGACACTATAGTTCATAGAATTATCAAAGGATTTATAACACAAGGTGGCGATCTCACAGGTACAGGAGAAGGTGGTAAAATATATGGAGAACCATTCAAAGTGAGACTATATTTATCAATAAAATGAATTCGTTTTTTTTTCAAAAATAATTATTGGATAAATGTGTTTTAGGACGAATTTCATACAAGATTACGTTTTCTTCGACGAGATTTAATGGTTGTGGCTATTGCTGGAGAAGATGACAATGGTTTCCAATTCTTCTTTACTCTTATTTCTACGCCAGTTTTGCAGCATAAACATACAATCTTTGGTAAAGTTGAAGAATATACCATATATGACATGCTTAAAGTTGAAGAAGCACTTGTAGGTGAGGTAAATTTAATGTTTACAAGGAAATATATCAAGAACTAATATAAACATAATATTTTCTCTTTTTTTGTAGAATGATAGGCCACTTTATCCTTCAAGATTGGTAAAAACTATAACATTGATTAATCCATTTTCTGATATTATACCAAGAATAATACTACAGGAAAGAGAAGAAGTAACAGACTGTTTAAAGACTAAAACACCAAGAGTAAAGTAAAAATCATATATGTTTGTAGAATTTAGCTCTGACAGTATTATTCCTTGCAATTAAAAATTTTGTTACAGTGACTTCAATATTTTATCATTTGGTGAAGAAGCAGAGGAAGCTAAAGAAGAATCTGTGATATTAAATAAAAAGTTTAGTGCTAAGGACAAATCAGCTCATAGTCATATAACGGATCCAAAATTAAGTTCACAACTAGCTGTTGAACCACGTGGACTTGCAAATAAAAAAAGGGAAGAAGACCGTAGTAGCGATTGGGAAAGTGACGACGATGTAAAAACTCAAGCAGAATTAGAAGTTATAAAGACAGAGAAAAAGTTAGTTTAGTGTTTACATTATAACTATGTTATAGAAAGTAGAAATTTTTATTGACTGTCTTATATTTATATTTTCAGAGTAGTGAAGGAAAGGATAAGAAATGAATTGAGAGATGCAAAGAAAGGACCGAAGAAAATAAAAAAATTATAAAATAAATGATGTTGAAGATGATATAGATATATAGGAAAATGAATAGGGAAAAAAATACTTCGTATAAGGTTTAACACGAAAGAAAGCCAAAAAGATGCACGACAAGACAGGTAGATGCAAGATAAACGAATATCTAGAATTATTAGGATAACTAATGTATTTAAATAGAATCATTTGCAGTAGTGTGTATATGTCTATTAATATTGTTATACATATGATCATTATAATGATAATTATTACGTGTTATGTATTACCAAACAGCTTTTTCTCGCAACGGTCCGTAATACGGACATCTACTCAGATTCTAATGTCTGTATGTCATTGCTTATTATGTCGTTAACAATTAACGTTTATATGTGAAACTTTCAAAGTGAATAAAAAGTACCTAAGCATATAACCATTGCAGTTTCGTTTTCTTTTTACCAAGAATGAAACAAGGCATCTTCATTTGTCACATCATGTTCGTCTGGCTCTGAAGAGAGTAAAGAGAAGGTAGAAAAATGTATTATACTTATTTATGTCCTTTTATCGTTTTGTTTCTCCCGCCCTGCAGGTCACGTGGTTTTTCCTTCGGCAGTTTCGATCAGCGCCATCTATGATTTGGGCTTAAAAATCAAGAAAGTGATAGGAATATAGGATAGGCAAGGAGGTCGTCGAGTCGCTGGTCACGTGGTAGACAAGGACAGTGTAGGGATAGAAAAGGATAGAATGGCTCCGGCAGTGAAAAATTATTAATTACTCAATTTCCGTAAACAATTTGTGAACTTTTATAATTGTATTGCAAAGCTGGAACTTCAGGCTGCATTCTCATATAACTTTTGTAAAGAATTTATCTCTAAATTGTTAGTTATTAATTTTCGTTTTATGGCGGCTATGATTTCTTAACGGCGACCATCACGATTTTCCGTGGAAATATTTAATACTAAACGAAACTAGCATCAATATGTGATCAAAAGTTATATGAGAAGATTCGCTAGAACATTGTCTTTCTAATGAGTGCACAAAGCTTCATAAATTAATTGCGTAGAGGATAGTAATTAATGAAAAACCAATGGCGCCTTCGACAGTCTTCGACAATAATTCAAACATTTCGTAGAATAATTATTAATAATTAATTAATCAGGGACAAATTTATATCGAAAAATATATTGGAAAGTTCGTGAAGGATCTGGCTTTATGATGCAATTATAAAAGTTCATAAATTAATCACAGATATCGAGTAATTAGTGAATTTTCCACTGCCGATTTGATTTAATAAAATATATTCGGAGCACATAACCAGAGTTAGTAAACTGACATCAGAGCCGTCTATGATTCTAGACTCAGAGCTCGAGTTCCGTAACGAGAACATAGACGGCTCTGATGTTAGTTTACTAACTCTGGTTATGTGCTCTGAATATATTGTAATATATTTTAATAAATCAAGCCAAAATGTTTTCTACATTCTTTATTAAATTTATCCGGAGCAGCGGTTTTAATTAGACAATCGGCATTCATTTCTTTACGTGGCAGACGACAAATATGCAAAGGTACGTATCTACAACGCAATTATAAAATTTCATAAATTAACCACAGAAATTGAGCGATTTATTAATTTTTCTCCAAATGAACAGGAGAGTACATGAAACAAGAGAAGATATTGGAAACAAACGTTGGAAGCATTGTTGTGTCCATGCAGGTGTGCCTGCATCACGAAACGAATGTAAGTATTTCTATTAACATAACCTTAACATAACATAATATAACTCAGTTGTAAACACATGGTGAAAGGTATAAAGCATTGCTTTCCCATCTTTCATTAGTGATAGCAGAGCACGGTTGTGTGGAGATAATAT